GATGCCTCCCAAATGGGGTCCGAGCAGATGGGGTCGGAGGATCGCGCCGCATCGCCGCCGCATCGGCGATGCCTCGGCGACGTCGACGATGCATCGGCGCCGTCGGCGCAGAGAACTTCGGGCTCCACATCAAGACGCATCGCCGATGCGTCGGAGATGCGGCGCGATCCTCCGACCCCATCTGCTCGGATCCCCTCTGGGGGCCTACGACGCAGGGGGGAGGGGGATGCGCCCTCGATCCACCCTGGGCAGGAAGGCGGGGCCCGGAGCAGGCACCTGCCCGCCGATGCAGTGCGGTGGCATACAGTCCAACAGAAAGCAGCGCGCTATAGATCATAGCGGTGCATCGCATACCACTTCCCATCAAAGCGCAACACCGCACCAGTGCACGGTTTGGTATACAACATACTGGCATCGCAATGCGTAGCCTAGAACATACTCTGTATGTTCTATGTGTTTGCACGACGTTGCATCTACCATCGTAAAATGGCACGGTACAATTTACACAATGGCGACATAACATTTCATAGCGTACTGGAACACTTACCGCGCTTCATGGAGACATGGCGCATGATTGCATGACGGAAGGAACGTCATGCCGTTGAATGCCACCCTATGACACGTGTACACAACGTGTTACATGTCATAGTGTACCCTTACAATACATTGATTTCCTTCCGCGGCACGTCATGATATTACCACAATCCTCCTGTATAGCACGCTGACGTGATAGTCGGCCCAGAACCCAAAACATGTTTGTTCATGTTGAGCGTGCGTCAGCAGCTATCTGCCCCTTGATTGCTAATTACTAACCGCGCTTACATCGCAGCACGGGTGGGGGCTGGGAAAGGGCATGCCATTCCCTGATACAAACCCTGTCCCGATGTGTGGCTGCCGCGATCGCCGCGGCGACATCCAAAGCCGACCCAGAGGCTTGGTTCGGGTCGGGATGACACGCAGACATCGTTCTTATGTAATGTCCGATCGTATCACATCAATGACAAGCGTCGCGTACCATAACGATACAACGTGTATCAACAACCTTGACATGCACAACATACGATGGCGACGCAACGCACATGGAAACAACGTATGGTCCAGTATTACAACGCGTGGCATGAAAAAAACACATGCGCAACGCAACACATCGTATAGACAACAACGGTGCAACGCAACCGTAACACCGTAACTCAACTGAATAACGGACACCGCAACAGAATACGGAAGACGACGACGGCAAGCACGGAACTACGAATCCCGAGCGAACCTCGATCTATCCTGGGCGACGGGTCGCCACGAGCACGGCCGCCTACGAAGAAGGTCCCTCGGAAAACATGTAAATCAACACCTTCAATATACTACAAGATCACGCGAGGCAAGACACGGCATGACAAGATGCGACCAGGCAAGACTATACACGAGAGGACGGGACATGAAAAGCGGGAAGGAGAAATGACGACAACGAACGATGTGGAGGGAGGGGATACAGAGGGGAGGCAATGGAGAGCTTGGGACCGAGGAGGATGGATGCGGTGTGGGAGGAAGGAGTGAAATTGGTGAAAGGAATGGAGGGTAATGAAGATGCATCTCCATTGGCTGCTAATTCGAACATACGATTATGAACGGCGGTGACAGCGTTCTCTGTTAGGTGGGGGGGGTTACCCTCACAAGGGGCTGCCAAGCAAGGAACGCAGTATTACAGTCAGTACGCGAGAGAGGGCTAAGGAAGGATGGAGCAGATGGTAAGAAGGACATGGAGGCAAACGTATGCCTAGTAGGTCGTTGGCTTTGTGCTAGGCGTGCTCCTGTCTGACCCATGAATGTAAGCATTACTGGTGCATATCTCATACTTGTTTGCAGATATGTGCATGTACGGAGAAAAAAAGGAGGGAATAGAGAGAGAGAGAGAACAAACAAAGAGAAAGAGAGAGAGGGAGAGTCAGTCAGTGAGAGAGTGGAATATATATATATATATAGAGAGAGAGAGAGAGAGACATACAGTAAGAGAGACCCAGAGAGCGAGAGAAAGAGAGAGAGAGATGGAGACAGAGAGAGAGATGGAGAGACAGAGAGAGAGAGAGAGAGATAGAGAAAGAGGGAGAGAGAGAGAGGGAGAGACAAGGAGAACAGGCGGGCAAGAGGAAGGCTGCAGGCCCTGGAGGGTGGAGGGCCTGGGGAAGCAAGGGAGGAAATCATTGTGCCCGCCTGCCTCTGCGCGAGATCCGCCTACTCTTCCTCCCGCCGGATGACGCGGTCCTCCAGGACATGACCCAGGGCCGCAAAACCGTGTTGCCACGACCATCCCCATCCCCTCCCCGCTCCCTCCCTCCCTCTCCGCCTCCCCCCCCTACGCTGCTGCGGCACCACGCCAGCTTCCCTTCGCCCCCTCCGCTCCCTCCCTCCTTCCCCGCCCCCTCTCCACCTTGTACTACCACCACCGCTGCTCATCATGGAACTTATCGTCATCATCGCCCTCTTCCTCTCTCAACAACCTCTTCCCCCCCGTCTCCCTGGCTGGTGCAAACATGACCGCGCGAGCGCTGTATGTCAATCGCGGCGCCTGGCAGAGACGGCGACGCGACACCGACATTGGCAGAGCCGTACGGTCGGCCCGTACCAGAAGGATGCGCGGTGAGGATGCAGGGGCCTTGGACGCCCATTTCGACCCACTTCGAAGCTTCTCTCGGGCCGGGCGAAAGGGGGGGTTAGAGAATCAGCTCACGTAGCTGATTCTCCCGGCGCCTCCCGGCGCCGGAGGCAGCTATGTATCGAGGAATGGGCCCCTCGGTGGGGCCGAAACCAGCTACATGCAGCAAATTTTGTAACCACCCCTTTCCCTACCCCCCCCTCTCGCCCGGCCCGATGCTCGAGCGGGGCGCGGCCAACGAAGGTGGCCCAGGAGGGACCACGGAGGCAAGGATAAGGGAATAAACAATTGCATAAACATAACAACTCGGAGGTCCGCGCGGATTTCTCGGATCGGCGCTGGACCCCCCTCCCTGGCGCGCGGAGCGCGCCAGGGGCGGCGCCGGAAGCGCCGCCGGGGTGCCCCAGCGCCGATCCGAGAAATCCGCGCGGGCCTCCCAGTTGTTATGTTTATGCCACCGTTTGTCCCCCTGAAGGATGCAAAGGGTACCCTGTGCGGGCCGACGGCACCTCGCGCTCCCCAGAGCCCGGGTCCTCGCGGAGCGCGCGGACGCGTGCGTGGTCGGCGACAACGGCTCGGACGGGAGGTCCAAGAGGTCGGTTTCCTCGGGGGGCGGCAGGGCGGGGACTGCGGCCGGGCGCCAGGCCGGAAGAGAGCAGGAGGAGGAGGAAGGAGGAGGGAGGAGGGGAGCACAGGGAGGAGGCGGCAAGGAATGGGAATGGGAATGGTCAATTCGCGAAGCGAAAAAGATATTAATTAAGGAGGGATGCGGCCTCTGGCTCGTTGCTCCGACAACGACAACAGCTTTGGCCAGTGCCCATCCGCTATCCTGTTGAAATATTATTGTCGAGGCTTGTTGGTTTTATGAACACATTCGGATGCAAGCCCTCGGATCTGATCGGAAGAGTAAAATCTGCACGCTCCACAAAACCAGAGCTTCAAAGTACCGTGGAACCTGAGATTGTGAGAGGAATGGAGCCACCCCCCCGCCCTATGGACTTTACGCCCTTGGGGTATTTGTGAGACAACACCGTCTACAGACAACAATGCAAAACAAGGCGTATTCAACCAGTCACCGAGACATTTTTTCGTCGCGGACCCTTTGCATCTGGTACACTGGCGGCCACTGTCATCAATAATATGCGTGGTACAGAACACAGCGACTGTGATTGGGGCAGGCGGATGTAACCGAAGTTTTTCAGACTCACGCTTGGGACGAGGATCCGCGGCCATGGCGTCCATGGTGGCCCTGATGAGCCGACGCCTGACCAACTCTGCTCTCTACTGGTGCTGGGCAACACGGGCGCGCACAGCTGCTGGTGTTCTGTGCTCATGTGCTGCTCGGCCTGCCAACTGATATGCTCGATGATTGCCGTGCCACATCCACGGCGCATATCCTTTCTCTGCAGCTTCGACTTCCGACAAGTGTGAATTCATAAATACGACTGAAACTCGGCCGTGTCGATCCTCAGCCCAATAGCTTGCCAAGGTCAGTGTCTGAATTGGCCTCAAGTGGGTTGAGGTGCATTCTGGCCGACCAGCCTTTCTCAACCCCCTCGTTGACTGTGAAATACACCACTGCTCCTCGCGTACGTCTCAAGACATACTCCAGAACAGCAAGCTCACCTCGATACACTGTCTGCCGCCGTCCGTGCAGCGGTCCATATCCTTCTCGGCCTAACCGCACAGGGTCCCGTTGATCTATGATGGTGAAACCGAGGCCAACACGTCTTAACTTTGATGAGTGCGCGTCGGCTCCTCCACTTGCGTCGCCACAAACATATACTGGTTGAGCGTCGGTCCCAGCGGCAAGAAATATCACCATCGGGTAGCTCTGGCACGAAGGTCCACCGCTCCTCTTTGGAAGATGCTGGCATCTCCGTCAACGATCTGGGCAGCAGCCCCCGAAACCAAAAACACTCGTACTGCTCGTGCTGGCTGACTGCTTGGGGCACATACTGATCGGAATCACGATAAGCCTTGTGCCCTGTGTTCTGGGGACATAGCCAACAGCGATGCAGCTGCGTCTCAGGGTGGCACCCGCCGTTCAACAAACACCGTGGGCACAACTGAAACCCGGGATCGTCAACCTCGAACCATGTTCCCGGCCATGTGCCACCCGCCGCCACTGCCAGCATGGTCTCGGCCCACTGGGCTCCCTTCGGAGCTTGGGCCAGCCGGCTCAGGGGCGCACGGAGGGATTCGATGTCGATACCATCTGACATGCCTTCCCCGCAATAATGAGCCGCTGCCTGCTGCCAGAATACACCCACCACTGACATTGAGAGATCTGCTGGGATATCGCTGAAATCCTCAGAACCCGTCAGCTCCTCACTGATGCAGTGCCACTCGACCTGCTCGCTCGTGCCCCCACATCGCTGTAGTTGCCAGTGCGACGGCGAGATCGGTTCCCGCTTGTACTGCATCAGCATTGCGATCACTGCACTGACTGGCCCACGAACGTGGCGAGCCCTTTCAGTGCTGGTGAGCGCTTGCACCTTGTTGGCAATAATGGGCCAAACTTTGACGACCGACGATCGGGTGCCACCTGTTGCCGTCCAAAGCCTCAGCCACTCACTCAAACATTCTCTGCTCAAACGAACTGCGGGGTCTTGCCGCGGAGCCCTCAATCTAACGTCGTGGTCAGGCATCGGCCCCTGCGGTTGGAGCCACGCACCGTGCCCAGGCGCCGACGCAGATTGAGAAGCTCTGACCCGAACATACTGTGAATTTGATGCCCGTAGTGGGCAGCCGTCTGCCCTGCCACCTGCTCCAAAGTGGCCGTGGCTGCGTACTGTCTGATTGCTCTCGCCCATCTAGAACTCTTCCGATGACGACCTATCGCTTTCACTACTCGCCCACGCCCCGTCGCTCTTGCGGCTCGTCGCCCTGCTGCAAGATCCACTCCAAGATATGCCGCTTGCAGTGCTGGCTTCAAATGATGCCCGCGACGTCGGAGAACCGCTGTAATCGCCTTAGCCTGCTGGTGCCTGGCCGCGATAAGGGCGCTCTTCGACGCCACGGACAACTTCTCCTCTGCCAGGAAGTCAAAGGTGTCGGCGATACCTCTGGCCATTTTCTTGAAAACAAACGCTCTGACCCAACAGCTGATTCACCCGGATCATCGATCCAAATCCGTACACGCAGTCCTGGATTACCCTCCATAATTTTGCTTCAGCACGAAATGTGTAGCACAAGTACCGAAGCGGGTTCCATTTCTTAGGCCTTGGGTAATCGACCTAGCCACCTGAAATGGACCGCATGTTGATCCAAGCTGGGTCATCATTCTGGGGGCTGTGCAGAGCTGTAGCTCTAAGAATAAGATAACTGGTGAAAAGTCCAACTTCAATGCTGCGTATACCAAACATGCCCGCGTCACCGCATCGTAGAAGGACTGGATGTCCAATACCGCACGTGCGTAGGACACCCCCAGCACCCCGTAGATCACCTCGTAGACTGTCTTGAGGAAAGCCTCGCGAAGTGCTGAGTTGTCTGCCGGTGCTGCGCCCCGCCTATCGCTGGACTCTGCCGTCCAGGGCTTCATGATATCTTCTCGAATAAGTGACCATATTCTGCATATGATACGCATTAATCCAATCACTCTACCCCCCTTGGGCCTTCTTGGGAAGAAGGCGGCCCTCGACAACAAGAAGTTGCCAGGGCCATGTCAACTGCTCCTCCACCTGATTATAGAAGGCAACCAACTCGGCTCTCGCCGACGTCAGCGGGAGTGAGTCTGTCCACTCCGAGCCCTGCGCGACGTATCATTCGCCTCGCTGCCATGTCCAGCTGACTCACCTCAATCGTCGGGGGCGCCGCCGTCTCCGACGCCTCTCTAATCTTCTGAAATAGCTGCAACGTGCCTTCTACATCAACTTTCTCTGGGGCCCATAACCGATGCCAATTCCGTACCGTGTGGTCCACCACGTCCACAGGGTGATACAGAGTCTGGCCACTCTTGGTAGTGATCTCATCAACCGTGAGCGGCGTCTCCCTGAGGCTGCGGAAAAGGGCCCCTTTAGCTTCTGCCGTTGTCACCCAGGAGCGAAACCCTGAGAGGGGCTCGCATAATTCCCTACTCTGGGCTCTCTTGGCAAGCCGAAGCGCTGTTTGCTCAAGATATGTCAAACTATTAACCGATGCTTTGCTGATGTTGGTGAGTGAGCCCGCCCAAGTCTCCCACGCAGGATCGTCGTCGCGTGAGCCACGGGCCACTCCGTCGGGAAAGGTGGTCGCTCGCCTCCAGCACGCGTGGTGCAGGGTCTTCTACTGTGCCTCACCGTTGCCTTTCTGTCGGTGCTTCAACAACTGCTGCAGTACCGTATGCGATTGCAACCGCCGCCCCGCGATCGTATCTCGAACGGCCACTGCTCGAACTTCGCTAAGCACGCGCACTTCCTTGACGCGCAGTGAAGGGCCCTGCGCTCTCCCAAGTGAAGCGGCGACAGACTTTGGTAGCTCGCTTTCACTCGGCCTGTGGCGGGCAACAATCGCCCTCTCCGCGGCAGAAATCCGCGTGGCGAATGTGGTGCTGACTGTCAGGACCGACTTGAGCCCGCCAGCCAAAACGGCTACTGATTGCGCAGTGGGAGGCCAGATACGCTCTTCCGTCTGATGCTGAATGTCGATCTGATGCTGAATGTACTCTCAGGAATATAAAACGAGGGCCCTCCAGGCCCCCCTTTCAGTGGTGAGCCCTACCGTGCTCCCAGGGGGGCTCTCCAAAGGGGGGTTCGGGGTGGCTTTAATCTGCGCTCCTGTGACGCGCTCGGGATTGTTAAATGCGACCTCTGCGCTCACTGCGGGGGGCGGCCCAAGGTGGCGCGTGCGTGTGTGTGTGTGTGTGTGTGTGTGTGTGTGTGTGTGTGTGTGTGTGCGTGCGTGCGTGCGTGCGTGTGTGTGTGTGTGTGTGTGTGTGTGTGCGTGTGTGTGTGGTGCGCGCGTGTGTGTGTGTGTGTGTGTGTGTGTGTGTGTGTGTGTGTGTGTGTGTGTGTGTGTGTGTGTGTGTGTGTGTGTGTGTGTGGGTGTGTGTGTGTGTGTGGTGTGGTGTGTGTGTGTGTGTGTGTGTGTGTGTGTGTGTGTGTGTGTGTGTGTGGGGGGGGGGGGGGGGGGGCGCAGCAGCAGCAGCAGCCGAGGAAGCAACCGAGGAAGAGGGAGGAAGCGGGAGGGGAGCACGGCACATGCCTGAACTCCGCTTCGCCCGCCCAATGATCTCCCTCGGGGTCCGATTCCCATCCTTCGGCCGACTCACCCTGCAGCGGCAGGTCAAGATCTAGAGGGGGTTCCTCGGGGAGCTCTGTGGTCTCGGGATCATCCCCAAACAGAAATATATAAAGTGATGTCCTACGCTCTACAGCGGCCCGTTGCTTCTCAGCATGCTGTTTCCGAGACGCAGACGACTTTGACCCAGGAGTGGCTTCGCACTTCGGCCGCCCAACCTGAGGCAGCCTAGCAGGGAGCTCCAGAGCCCGAACCAGCAACTGGGGCCCTGTCCCACGGATGCGGACCTGGAATCCTGCGTGCGTCTTCCACGGCACTTGCACGACTGGGGTGATGGAGATGAGATATGGAAGACAGTTGTTACTTGTCACAGCGTAATCGATCAGAGAACCGGATGCGCCTGCCGTGCACATAGTTACAAGGTCTCCTGTGTAGAGCCTCCCTCTAATCGTTGAAACAAAATCCGTCTTTGCAAGAGTCGTTGCTGGAACGTTGAAGCCCGCGATGATGAGCCAGGGTAATTGCAGCGCTCGGACGAGACCGCCGTGCTTGTGGTAGCGCACCAGGTTGTCGCCTGTCATTCCTATCGAGGATAGGCCATAAAATACTATGATGGCCAGGCAGAAACCCCTGAAGTGCACCACTGTCGCACAGAAACCGTCGTTCGCAGTCCCTCGACGCGCTTTGAAGCCTCTGTGCTGTGCTGCAGGCAATGCGTGTACTTGTCGATGCCCTCCTGCGAGGAACCACTCGCCACCCTCGTTGGCTCTGGCCACCATCTCCTGTGACTGGGCCTGGCCTGAGGGTCGCGCGCCGCTGGCGATGAGCTTCAGACCCATCCCTTGCGCTGCCGCGTGCCATTGCCAAACTGCATATGATGCAACAGGTGTCTCCACAAATGCCCAAAACTGATGCTGGTCTAAGTTTGTCTGAAAGGTATTGCCACGCCTGCGACGTCTTGGCCGACGCCCCCATGCTGGTAATGCTGGCGAAGAAGAGGCTGCACTCCTCGGTGGGCCGCTCGTTCTCTCCCTGGGAACCGTCAGCAGCGCTGGCACCTGATGGGGCTGCACGAGAGGCCCCTGCCTCAGCAGCCGAGGGGGGCGGCGAGCGGCAGCCGCGCAAAGAGGGGCGAACCCGCACCTGCCAGCTCGCTGCAGGCGGATGTTCCAACCTGCCGCTGCTCCCCATCTGGCTTTGGCAGAGCAGGATATGATGCCGACGACGTACTCGAACCCGAAGCGCCCGTCACCTGTGAACCCGAACTTGCCGTCGTCGACCCCGTTGGAATAGAACGTGTAGAAGATGGCGCCGCTGAACACTGTGCGCTGGGCGCCGCAGTAGCTGCCGCGTCTGCTTGCAGTGCTTCGTCGAGGCTGGTCTTACGGAAAAGCGCATCGAAGAGGTTCAAACCTTGGGCACTGGTACCTGTGCCGTCTTGGGTCGGGGCGTCCTGTACCGTCATGCATGGAGGCCCCGACTGCGCCACTCACTTGCCGCCTACGCCTCCCTTGCCACGAGGAGGCCTGGCGCCCTTGCCCTTCTTGCCGCCGTTGCCGCTGGCGCCGCTGCCGCTGACGACCCTGAGGGCCTCCTGCCCCAGGTGGGCCGCGGCCTTCGCGGCAGCGATCTTGCTGGCTGAGATGTTGGCTGCAGCCTCCTCGACCTCAGAGCTGGCCGTCGTTGCAACCTCGGCCTCAGCAGTGGGCGCTGCCGCCTCTCCGCCGTCAGGCGCCGCAGTGGCAGGTGCCTCGCTGGGCTGAGCGCCGTTGCCACCCTCGACCAAACCCCCGTCGGCTGTCTCCGTCTTGCGCTTCTTGCCCGACCGTGTGTGGATCGTGTCGCGCAACGCCTTGGCTCGGGCGATGCGGGTCTTCACGTCCCCGCCCTTCGCTGCCAGTTGCGTCTTGTAGTGCTGGAGCTCCTGGCGGACTTTCAGCAGATCTTCTTTCTCTGCCGCCTCAATCCCATCCAGCTGATCCAGATCCTGGAATCGTGTGTCATCCCAAACAATGTCGAAATCGGCAGATGTGTCAGCCTGTCCACGCTGGCCTTCGCCTGCGCCGCCTCCCACTTCTTTGGCGAAAACTGCCGTAGCTTGCTTCCGCTCTACGTCTGCTTGTGCGAGTATCATCGCCGCCTCCTTCTCCCGCTGCTGGGCCCTGTCCAAGTTGGCCTGGCAGCGGATGACTGCGGCAACTGCTTGATCATGTTTTGCATTGGCGTCTCTCCACTGGCCCGAGACACGCTTCAGAGTATCTTCAGCTGTGGACGCCTTGCTCGGTGCCGTGGATGGGGTGAACTGGGCCCGCAACGCCTCGGTCACCTGGGCGAGATGAGGCGCTGCAACAGATGCGGCCAATCCCTTGATGATCTCCTCCACGACTGCTTGCGTCTGCTGCTGCGATTGGCTTTGCTGATCGCGACCTCCACCACCTCAAATAACTGGACGGTGTGCCCACACTTGGCGCAACTGCACTTGCGACTCGAGAGGTTCTTGTTCCAATCCCAGGTGCCGCAGTTGCCGCACTTGGACCACTGCGACTGCTGGCCTCGAATCATCTCGTAACCGTGTCTTTGCACTGTCTAGCCAACCGCTGTCTGTGACTAATTGTAAATCGCGGAGAAACGGTGCTCCTCCAGCACTCCGAGAAAGTCAGTGCTGGACTGAGTACGGGCCTCACGCACGGGGGCGTAAGGACTTGGTGCTCGAGCCCAAGTTGCTTGAGGAGGAGGCGGCAAGGAGGAGCAGGAAAAGGAGTGAGGGAGGAGGGGAGGAGGGGAGGAGGAAGGAGCGGGAGAAGGAGGGGAGGGCGGAGCGGCAGACGGAGGAGGAAGGAGGAGGGAGGAGGGGAGCTCAGGGAGGAGGCGGCAGGAGGAGCAGGAGGAGGAGGAGCAGGAGCAGAAGCGCAGAGGGGCGCCAATATAGCCCTTCTGGCTCAAATCCGTAGCCATTTTGGCTCCAGGCCGTTTGCGGGGTCTCTCTCTCTCTCTCTCTCTCTCTCTCTCTCTCCCCGCACTCGCCCCTGGCGCCGCGCACCGCCCGCGCGGCCGCCCTCGTACCGGGCCGGCCTCAGCGCGCCGCCGCGCCATCGGATGCGGGCAGCGTGCGCTTTGTTCTGTACACCTTCATCCACCAGAGGGTGAAATACCACGTATACATCTTCCTCCAAGCGTGGGGGGTGATCGCGTCAGGGTGTACAAGTACTCAAAGTCATCGCGACACACACCCTACGACCGCCCTCATGATGGCGTCCACTGCAGGACGGGCCAAGCCGAATTTCACCTGCGACGAAATGCGTAACAAACAACCCCTAGACGAATGCGGAAACCAAATACGACACTTCTGGAAACTACGACAACGAGCAAGGCCCAAAGTACAAAAACTACCACCAGTAAGACACAAAGTACGCCACCAAGATCGGCGACAAGCACGGCATTATGAACACAGCCGCGGCCGTCTTCGAGCCATGCCAGATCACGATCGCCCCCCCAGGCGAGAAACGACATCACTGGGGCGACCCGGTGCTTGCTTTGTCAGTTACGGGAGCCAGCGTGGACTATGACGCCAAAGTAATTAGCTACAGCGGCCTCCAGAACACATATAACCACCAGAGCTACGACGACCACCAGGACTTCGATTTCTGGGTACGACTCTCTGAACCAAGCCACCGTCGATCACTAGTACAAGTCCAGGAAAGCCCAGGTGGCCAAGAAAGCAGAGGAAGTCTGGGAGGCTGAGGAGGACAGGACGGCTCACGAGACCAGGAAGGCTGATTAGCCTAAGAAAGCAGAAGATGCCAGGAAGGCAGAGGAGTCCAAGGAAAACAGAGGTTGCAAAGAAGTCAGAGGGGGCCGAGAAGGAAGAGGAGACCGGACGGCCGAGGAGGTCTGAAGGCAGAGGAAACGAGGAAGGATCCGGCCAGGAAGCCTGCGGAAGACCGGGGAGGCCTGAGGTTCTGAGGGGGAGACAAGGGCTGCGGAGGCCAAGAAAGCAGAGGAGGCCGCACGGGAATGCAAACCAGGCCAAGAACGCAGAGGAGGACTGACAATAACAGTGTGGGATTCATAAGACGAGGCTGGCGCCTTCGAGACGGCCAGGCGAGCGCGCGAGGCCTGCCTTGCGAGGCGCCCTGGACCGTTGAAGGGAGCCCCACCTCGGAGGCTGGTATTGCCGAGGAAACCAAAGAGGAGGACGACGACGACCTGACCGCGGAGGCACAGAAGTCAGAGTAGACCACAAGGGGCAAACGAAGCCAGGAGGCTAGAGGAGGCCAGGAGAGCTCCAGAGGCCAGGAAGGCAGAGGAGGACAAGAATGCCGAGGCTTTTAGGACAAAGGAGAACAGGACAGCAGAGGCAATTGCCGAGGCCGAGCAAAGGAAGCCCCGAAGGCAGAGGAAGATCTTGCTAAGAAGGCAGAGGACGCCAGAAAGATTGAGGGGGACAGGAAGACTGCCGAGGCCACGAAGGCAGAGGAAACCGATCAGAGAAAGGACATTGTATCCAGACGGCACGGGGAACATAAAGAAAACGGAGGGGGGCAAGGCGACTACCGAGACGATGAAAAATATTAGAAAACCGCAGAAGGCCCGGAAAGCCGCGAAGCTCAAGAAAGTTGAGGCCAACAGCGTCGAGGAGAGCACGATGGCTGAGGACACCAGAGAGGCTGCAGCCAGAAAGGCAGCAGCAGACACTCGCAACGAGCACGACCCAGTCCTCCACCAAATCGACTCGGAGACAGACTACATCAGCAGCCGGTCGGAGCACTGCGGGAACGCGACGGCGCGCTGTGAATCGACCCAACGCCGAGGTCCGAGGTACAGCGACGGAGGAGGCGGAGGAGGAGGAGGAGGAGGAGGAGGAGGAGGAGGGGGAGGAGGAGGAGGAGGAGGAGGAGGAGGAGGAGGAGGAGGAGGAGGAGAAGAAGGAGGAGGAGGAGGCCTGACCTGGACAGGCACGGCACCAGGAGACCCCGCCGGAGGCGCGGCGCGCCGTGCGCCGGCAGGGCGCCTTCCCAGGATGGCAAGGCCGACGAGGCTTCGTCCCTGGCCAGCAGGGAGGTCGATGACGACGAGGAGGAGGAGGAGGAGGAGGAGGAGGAGGAAGAGGAAGACAAGGCCGCCCGTTTGCAGGCAGTCAAGAAACTGCGGCGGAGGGCGAACCGTAGGAGAAGGAGGCGGAGGAGGAGGCGAAGATGGTACATAAGGAACTGAGGAGGAGGGCGCTGCAACTGGACGTCGAGCGCAGCCCCGACGAGAACAGCAGCACATGCGAGTATGATTCGGGACACCAACATCACTGCTATCCGACCGCTACTCGCACGCACTCAGAAGACTGAGGAGGAGGGCACTGCAGATTGACGTCGAGCGCAGCCCCGACGAGAACAGCGGCACATGCGAGTACGATTCTGGACACTATCATCACTGCTATCCGACCACTACTCGCACGCACTCAGAAGACTGGGCTGCGAGGACATCGCGACGCTGGGAACCTACGAGGAGATTTCGTTCCAGGTTAAAGGGGCGGCCACGAAGGAAGAGAAGGCCAGGAAGGCAGAGGAGGACAGAAGGACTGAGGAGGCAAACAAGATGACTGAGGCCGCGAAGGTAAGAGAGGATCCTCAACACTTACCAGGACATATACGAGAACGACCTCCAGAAACGAATCCGCACCATCGAGGCGTTCTACGGGATGGGCCACATCACCTACGAGGAATACCACCAGAGCACCTCCCTTGCGCACCGCCTGAGCGACCGCCTGACAGAAGGCCTGCTTGCACTACCTAGGGATCTTTCGCGCCCCGAACTCGACATACTAGAGAAAAGCGCTGGCCAGAGGTAACACCCCGTGTTCCTCGCGATGATTACGACCTCCTCCCCCCTCTGGCTGCGCCCCCGACCCGCCGGAACCAGACGCACGCGCAGTGAGGTGCACAGTCGCCGTCCTGTTGTCGCTGAGCTCCTCGTGCTTACTTCTACGACCGATTCGACAACTTCGGGCCCCATCTGGTTCTCGACGGCAGGCACCGCGGGCACGCGCTTGTGCATTATGGCACAGGGCAGGGCCACCCCCCGCAGGCTCAGGCAGTGCTCCAGATTTCGTAATGAAGGGGAGGGGGGTCTCGTTTCGGGGGGGGGTCTCTTCCAGGGTATCTTGGAGGGCCTGGGGGGGTCTGGGGACGATGTTTTGGAGGGTTCTCCCACGGGGGGGGGTCTAAAACTTTTTCGTCTGGGAGGGTTGAGACCCCCTCCCTTTTATTACGAAATCTGGAGTACTTGGTCCTCTTCCTTCCTGCCCCGCCTCGGAACAGCTGCACGCCAGCGTGCGTGTAGCCATCGGCGCTTGCTGCACGTGCCCGCGGGCGAGCGTCGCGGGGCGCAGCGCATCTAGGATCGCTGTGAGAGCGCTGCGAGAGAGAGAGAGAGAAAAAAAAAAAAAGGATGATGATGATGAGGAGGAGGAGGAGCAGAAGGAGAGAGGAGGAGGAGGAGGAGGAGGAGGAGGAGGAGGAGGAAGAGGAGGAGGAGGTGGAGGAGGAGGAGGAGGATGAGGGGAGGAGGAGGAGGTGGAGGAGGAGGAGGAGGAGGAGGAGGAGGAGGAGGGGGAGGAGAAGAAGGGACCCAGACATCCAGCTGCTCCTAGGCGTGAGCCCTGGAGGTCTGGACCACCTCCCTGGGGCCGGCCCTTGCCCGAGTCCTCTTTTGACGGTCCCGAGGCACGGCGAGGGCCCGCAGAGGCGGCCGAAGACAGCCAAAAACCGCCCGCTCCAAGCTTTGCTGGAGCGCCAGATATCTGGAGAGGAGGTGCAGGACTGGGAGAGAGGAGGAGGAGGAGGAGGATGAGGATGAGGAGGGAAGAGGAGGATAGAGGAGGATAGAGGAGGCGAACGAGAGAAGGAGAGGAGCAGGAGCAGGAGGAGGAGGAGGAGGAGGAGCAGGAGCAGGAGCTGGAGGAGGAGGAGGATACAGGAGGAGACGCAGGAGGAGCAGAGGGAGCAGGAGGGGATGTCCTCAGAGGGCGCCAGCTCGGCCTCCTGCGCGTCGGCCTCGGCCTCCGCGTCCTCGGGCACATCGGGCATGGCCGCCGAGGTGGGGCACAGAGCGGGCGCCTCCACGGAGATCACGGGGGCCTC